GCACTGAAGAACAGCGGATAAAATATAAATATTTTAAACAAAAAGATAAACTTAAAAAGCTGTGGCTTCCTTTAGGTCAGTATATACAACAGAAACAAAAAGGGGGCGATGAATATGCTAAAAAGCATGATAGGCCTACACCCAATCTTGTTCAGCCCTGAGGTGTACAGACACCACAACAGCTAAACCTTTCTTTCTATCAAATACTCAATTTTTTACTTCTATATATACATGTATATATGTATATATATATATATATATATCTTGTTTATTTATTTATGCATGTGTTTGTTTGTTGCTGTATATTATGCATTCATTCATTTGTCTTTTATAAGAATGCACACGTATATATCTACTTAGATATATATAAATATAAATAAGTATATTATATATATTTTATTATTATATATATATATAATATAGACGTAGGGTTTAGGGTTTAGGGCCCCGCACCGCGTTGCTGTTAGCATGCGGTGTTTGTCTTAGGGTTTACGGTTTAGGGTTTAGGGTTTAGGGTTTAGAACAAGTTGCAGTTTTATTTGTTTATAAAAAGCTCACAAAAGAAGAAGAATAATAATTATATATAATTATTATTATTATTATTTCTACTGCTGATCTTTTAATAATTATTATTATTACTATCATTCTCATTAATATTATATTGTTATACATACAACAATAACAATAAGTATAATTATAACAATAACAATAATTATTGTAATAATAACAACAATTATTATTATTATATATTTACAGAACTACAGACAAAACCAAATGAAGTGTCTGCATGCATAGGCTGTCTGCAGCAGCAAAAAGATTTACATACAGCGAGACATTGAGACAAGCTTTTATAATTTGTTTGATAAAATAATAAATATATTTATTCTAATTAAAGCAATAAACAAAACGGAAGATAAACAAAACACGGCACTCTGCTGCGGTGTATATAAGGGGGCATGTATCACCTGCTGCTGCTGCTGCTGCTGCTGCTGCTGTTGCTGCATGTGCTTGCTTTTCGTTTATTGCTTGATTAGAAGATAAAACATACAGTAATACAGGAAGATAAATTAATATAGATAATTTTAATAAAATATATTGAGACAAGATGTGAAGAAAGCCCCGCCGTTGCATGCAACTCGTGAACCCCACATGAGCAGCAGCAGCAGCAGCAGCAGCAGCCTGAGCAGCAGCAGCCGCCGCCGCAGCAGCAGCAGCAACGAGAGAAGTAGGTGTGCTTGTTTTGGGGTTTGTTTGTTTGGAGTTTTATTAAAGTTGTCTACTGACAGCTTTAATAGGGTTTATGCAGCAGCATTATTATATATGCTAGCCGCAATCCTTCTCTCTGACTTCGGTAGTGTTGCTGCAAGGGTGCTGCGGGGTGTATAGGGAGCATTTTGGGGTGTATTTGTCGGTTTTTTTTCTGATTTTTTGGATTATTATATTAAATTTTCAAAAATAAACAGAAAAAATGCCGACATCTTTCGGAAAGAGGGCGCGTACGCGTCAAAAATACTCTAAAGGCTTCCGTCAGCGGGGCATGCCTGCTGTAAGCCGCTTACTTGTGGTGTATAAGAAGGGTGATTTCGTTGACATTGTTTGCGACCCAGCTGTACAGAAAGGAATGCCTTATTCATTTTATCATGGGCGTACAGGTGTGGTGTTTAATGTTACACCTCGGGCTGTGGGTGTAGAGGTAAAGAAAGTAGTAAGAAACAGACAAATCGTAAAGAGGATACATGTACGTATTGAACATTTGCGTAAAAGCAGATGTAATGAGTTGTTCCTAAGAAGAGTGCAGCAAAATGATAAAGCTCATCATGAAGCTCATCTCCAGGGCAAGACAATTACAACAAAGAGACAAGTGCAGGGTCCTAGAGAAGGCAGCTTTGTTGCTGGAGATAATCTGCAAGTCCTTGAGCCGGAGCCTTTCTATGAAGATTATTAAACGCATTTATCTACACTCGCCAGCTCATTTACTATTCAACATACACCCATATACAGCAGCAGCAACAACAACAGCAGCAGCAACAACAGCAGCAGCAGCAGCAGCAACAGCAGCAGCAGCAGCAGCAACAGCAGCAGGACAAGCACTGGCATTGCATCTCTTTGTTGCATAGCAGTGCGTGCAGTTCCGTTGCAGCAGACTGCAGCAACTATTTCTGCTGCTGCTGCAGCTACAGCAGCAACAGCAACAGCAGCAACAGCAGCTGCTGCTGTATTTGGTTTGGGGTAAACTGACATTTAAAGCGTATGAGTGCGGCGTCTCCTTTAGCATGTTTTGTTTTGTTCTGCTGTACTTCTTGTTCAGGGGGGGGTGTGTTTATTATCATTTATTATTATTATTATTGAGTATTAGGACTAGGGTTTAGGGTTTAGGGTTATTTAAGGGTTAATTATTATTACTATTATTACTATTCTAGAGATTTGTTTGTGGTTTACATATTGGTGTTTGCAGAGCAGCAGCAGAGCTGCCTATACACCCGAACGCCTAAAGTTATGCTTCTTCTATAGACAAGTCGCTCGGCACCTGCCTGTACACTCCAGCGCTTTTTTATTTTTGCTGCTGCGTAGGGTGTATGAACAGCTTTTGAGGTGTATAGGCAGCTTCTGGGGTGTATGATGCATAGGCAGCTTGTGAGGTGTACGTATATAGACAGCTTCTGGGGTGTATAGGCAGCTTCTAGGGTATATGGGCAGCTTGTGGGGTGTACTTAGATGCATTTAGCTGTCTAATAGTTGCCGTACCGGCAGCTGGGGTTTAGCGCTTGCCGTTTAAGGTTTAGGGCTTAGGGTTTAGGGTTTGTTAGAAAGCAGAGAAGAAGTCGCTGGGGTTGGTGTGGGGCGTTGGGCTGTACGTACACCTCAGCAAACCCCTTGTAATGTACATGTATATAAAGCAATATATATATATATATATATATATATATATATTTAAAAAAATATACATCTATAATAATCTGCTGAGTATCGAGTAGCAGAGAACGAACAAACAAAAGAAATATCTCTCTGCCTGCATGCACTTAGCTGCATATACACCCCAAACACAACTATATTAAAATACACAAACCAAACACCTCTCCCCTTCTCTTTTCTCTACAATCAAAACCCGTCAATGCATGCATGCATGCGTGCATGCATGCATGCATCGCTGTAGGCATTCAAGCGTGCATGCATATACGTATACACCCTATTAAATATGCATGCATGCATGCATGCATATCTGTATGCATGCATGTATGTATGTATGTATATATGCGCGCATGCATGCATCTCTATATGCATGCATGCGTCTGTGTATGTATACACCCTACTAAATAGGCATGCATGCATGCATGCATGCATGTATGAATGCATCAAAAGTGCATGCATGCGTGCATGCAACAAAAGTGCATGCATCATTGCACGCAACAAAATGCATGCACGCATGCAGAACAAGGGCACGCATGCATGCATACATACAACAAAAGTGCATGCATGCATGCATGCACGCATGCATGTATGCAACGTCAAGTGCATGCATGCATATATGCATGCATGCACTGGGATCTGCGAACGTCTTCGAGTGTCTGTACAGAATAAGGTTTAGTTGCTGTTGCTGCGGCTGCTGCTGCTGCTGCTCTAACGTGCGGTAGCTGCATGCATGCATGCATGCATGCAGCAGCAGCAGCAGTGTTTCTGCTGCAGGTTGCTGCACATGGAGACACAGAACAGAAATAAATAAATAAATAAATAAAATAAATAAATAAATAAATAAATAAATATTAATTGTTTATAACAGCAATGCAAACATGAGTGTTTAATTGTCTTTATTTTATTTTATGTTTATAATTTTTCTGTTTTGTTTATTTGTTTATATTTTTATGCATTTGATATTACCTAATATGATTTGTCTGCACTCTATTTATTTATTTAATTTGTTTATTTAAGTTATTAATGTAATTAATATATTTATTAATATACTTGTTCTAGTTTATTTTTATGAATATGTTTATTTAATTAAATAAAACAGCCTAAAAAAAACAAGTGTTGCACATGTTAGACTTTTATTTATTTGCTTTTTATTTATCTTCACTTTATTTTTTATATTTGTTTATTATTGAGGGCGTCCTTAACCAGCGAATTGTCTTTCTTTATATAATATATATATATATATATATATATATATGTACATATATCTTTATATAATATAGACATATATATATATATATACAAACAGATATGTAAATACATATATAAGACTCTTCTTTCTTTAAATGCTCCTTACTATAATTAATATTTGTTTATTATTGAGCAATTCTTTAAACCACCTAACTCTTTTACCTTCTAACAAAATAAATCTAATATAATACAATCTATATATAAAGATAGATAGATAGATAGATAGAGATATATAGATAGATAAATAGATAAATAGATAAATAGATAGATAGATAGATAGATAGATAAATAGATAAATAGACAGATAAATAGATAAATAGACAGATAGATAGAGATAGATAGATAGATAGATAGATAGATAGATAGATAAATAGAGACAGACAGCCTTACAAAGACTAAATGTTTTATAATTCTTGATTAGGAGGCAGCTCTTTGAGCCATCGGATTCTCTTTCCTTCCGCCCACTCTCCTATTCGCTGTTCGTCGTTTGCTGTTATATACACCCCACACCCGTGTTGTTTGCCCTCCAACCAACTGCCTACATAACGACGTCCGTCCGGCCAAAAGAAAGTACCCTGAACAAACAATTATTATAATTATAATTATTGTTATAATATTAATTATTATTATTATTATTATTATTATTGTTAGTATTATAATAAATTTTAATTATTATTATCATTATTATTATTATAATAATAAATAATAATAATAATAAATAATAATAATAAATAATAATAATAGTAATAATAATAATAATAAATAATAATAATAATAAATAATAATAATAATAATAATAAATAATAATAATAATAATAATAAATAATAATAATAATAATAAT